CTGTGCCCACTGCGGCCACGAGCGTGCCTCGCGGCGCGATCCACCCAAAGCAAATGCGCCCCATGCGCACGCGCCAGGCAGCGCGCCACTTCAGCGCCCTCGTTGAGCTCTCGCTCGGGCGGAGAGTTCAAGAGGGCATTCCCCAGGTGGCCCATGGCATCTACGATACCGCGCCAGCTGTCACCTTGCCATCGTCAGCCGCACGGGACCTCGTGTTTGCAGGCCCCGCCGCGGCTTGGTCGTTCAAGCGTTTCGGTCTTGAGGCTGTTCCCCAAAGTTCCGATCGGGCCCCTGGCGGCGATTCGATTGCTTGACTGCGCGAAGCGGCTGGTGCGCCGCTATACGTGTCGCAATGCAGAATGGTTGCGCAGAAATAGTGTTATTCTACTGCTCCGCTGCGCCGAATTCGTTTTGCGTGGCGTCCCCCTCCCCCTAGCAGATTCCACTGAAGTTGCGTTTGGTTGTTTTTGTTGAACGGCCCTTGGTTGCCTCAGCGGCGGCTTGGTTGCCTCTCCCGGCTCCGCCCCCCCCATGTGGAGGCGCATGAAGTTTTTCGCTCGCCACACGTTTTTCGATGACCTGGGAAGAACCAGAAACAGAGAAGCAAGGGGTTATGAGAATGCTACGTTCCAAGATTTTCCAGATTTCCAGGGTGTCCAAAATTTCCAAAAGTTCAGCGCGGGCTGCAAAAACGAGGGTCGCCAGGCTCTTGCTATCATGCCATCACTCTCGCCCTAGAGACGGCAACGGAAAGATTTCGTTTTTCCCCCATGAGGCAACGCCGCAGTGGTGTAGCAGTGGAAGGCCAAGGGTGCGCGTACGCATGCCGATGCACCACATGCGGTGCACCCCGCAGGTCACCAGACCCGCATGAGGACGGATCTTCGAGGAGCAAGCGCCCGAACAAATTCCACCACAAGTCCTGCACCCAGAGGACATGCTCAGAGTCCGGGCGTTTTTCCCCTATCTCGGCCTCCAGGGCCCGTGGCCAGGCTCCGAGGACTCTGGTGCCATCAGAAAGTAGTCCCGGACGGAAGAATGGCCCCAGAGAGGGGGTCGGGACCTCAGGGAGCCGCGCGTTGACAAATCATATCGTCGGATGTCTGGAAAGTCGGGGCGGCCAAGAGGGGGTGATGACCAGGAGGGTGTGGATGTCATGGCGGAGGCCATGATGTCTCCCCATATTCCATGGCGCCCCCTTCTTGCAGTGGACACCCATGCCAAGAAACACCCTGCTTGCCTCCAGGATGCCCTGGGTTTGTTGGGTTTCTATGTTTTTTGGCAATGGAAAGGGTGACGTTCCCACCCCAAAAATCAATGGACGTCTTGGGTGTCTTGGGGAAGGTTTCTTGTGGTCGAGCTCCTGATGTATTTCAATACGTCCCTCGTCCCTCACTGGGCCGCGCACATGCCGCGGGCCATGAATTGCGCCGCACCCCTCTTGGACGCCCCCGTCGTGGACGCCCCCAGGAAATGCGGGTCGCGACGCGGGTCGTGGGCGGGTCGCTAGTTTCTTGGGCCGCCCAGATGTGGTCGAGGCAGACGTCGAATACGGGATCGACTACAGAATTGGTAAGTTCCAAACTTGATCTTCCGGCCGAATATGCAAGAAACGTGTCGAACGTTCGCAGATCTGCTGGACATTATACGTAGGTGTTCCGTAGATCTGGCTGGAAAATCAATTTTGGGGTAAATCAATTCTGTAGTCGATCCCCTGCTCGAAGACGGGGCCAGAGGACTGCGCCGCATCGCCGATGCATCGGCGATGCGGCGGCGACCGGGACCTCAAATTTCTCGGTCCCGACGTCGCCGACGCCTCGCCGATGCATCGGCGATGCGGCTAGATCTGTCGGCCCCATTACTCGGACCGACCCTACTTGGGTGGCATCCAGATTTTCCGTTTGCTTTTGCTCCCCAGCCTTCCTGCCGGCCTTCCGGATGGCCCAGGAAGCCCACGACGCTTCGAGAGAGCTTTGGACGTTCATATGTGCCGAGCGCCGAGCGTTTGATCCATGTTTTTGGCGCGTTTGCTTTCTCGGCTCAACGCGTCTTCGATCCGTCCAGCCGCCAGCAATCAGCTCGCAGCAGCGCTTTCGTTGTTCAAAGGGAGAATTGCCTCCCCCGCTTTCGCTTCCAGGCAAGACCAAGTCATACCAAGCGCCCCTTTGTCGAGCAGCCTGGATGTTGCGGACCGCCCCACGGGTAGCTTGGTATCGTTTGGCTCCCGGTTGGAAGCGAGGGTGGTCAAAAGCGAGGTATGTTCGTTTGCCCCTGGGTTGTGGCCTCCCAACCCAACCCGAAGGCCCCGATTTGCACTCCATTTCAGGTGGGGGGGGGTCGGGGAATATTGAAAAACAAATATGAAGCCCGTACCCCCCCAAACCCGAAATTCGGGCGAAATTCGTGACTTCGGGTTGGGTCGGGGTGGCCTGGTAGGTAGTCACATCCTGCGCCAGCGGCGATTCGAGGGCTCCCAGCTTGCCCAGCAGGGCCCCATGAGGCCTCCGAGACGACCCGAGACAGGCCCCAGGCAGCCCAGGTGGTCAAACATCAGATTGTGTCAATTGTTTTGTTTTGGGCGTGTTCGCCTCCTTGGGGTGGTTCGCCACGGCCGCCCACGGCGCTCTGGCCCTGCGCCCCCGGCTGCTGCTGTCCGCCCGGCTGCTCATCGTCAAACCCTTCGGCGTCTGAGCGTCCTTCCTTCCTCTCGGCCGTCCCCGTTCCCCCCTTTCACGCCGGCCAATTCGCGAGTTGATGCCCCATATCTAGCTACTCGCTGAAGCGGAGTTCGCGCCTTGCCGCTGACGAAACAAGTGTTCGTCTCCTTGGTAACAATTCGGAAGGCTCCAAGGCTGCCCAGGAGAGCCCCAGTGATCACCCCGAGCGGCCCAGGAGGGCCCCCCAAGAGGCCCCCCGGACGGCTCACAAGGGCATTTGGAGGAGTCCAAGCCGTCCCAGGAGAACCTCAAGACGGCCCAAAACGGCGCCAAGCCGTCTTTGATCAATTGCTTGAGCGCCTCAATGCTCTCGGGGTGCATTTCGGAACCCGAGAGATCTCCGAGCAGGGTGGCAATCGGAGGCTAACTTGTTCATGTCACGTGCTCTCGCGGCGTTTTCTGAGTCTGCGGATGGCAAATATGTCACGTCAGCTGTTGTAGAGCAGCAGGCTGTTCCGCCACTTTATTTCATAGCGGCTGTTTGTTGTTTGCATATGTTTGGCGCGGGGGGGCACATTCGCTTCGAATTCACCCAACGCTCGATCTGATCTCTCCCGATGGTGATCATTAACTTGTTCCAGAAACGCATACACAATGTCGGAAGTATGACGTTGTTCAGCTAACCCTATCTCCAAATCGTTTGGTGCCTGCCCAATCCCAGTCTGTTCTTTCACAAAGCGTACCGCCAAATTCATTGTCATCCTGTGGCTAGACCTGCGACTTGGCGCTCTTACTGTAACAGCCGATGTTAAACGCCAGTTGTATATTTTGCCTAAGAAAGCGCAGACGGTAAGCTTGATGGCTGCTCCAACGAACCCGTGCGCTCCGCAAGTGAGCAATATCGTATTTAATTGGAACCACTGCGTTTTTCTGTCTGTCAGAGCTTGCCCATCGATCTCCACCCAGGAAGTATCGGCCACACTCGTGTTGAAATGGATGTGGCGATTTTCATTGCTTAGGCCGTCCATCTCAAGCAATGGACTGTGGACGCGCAGAGCTTCTCTTGTATCGTCGGACATCGGCGAATGAATAAGTTGGTGAAGGGGTCCCCGAAACGACTGCCTGACTGGGGTACCTGGCGCCAGTGTGTCGCCACCCCGTCTAGAAGCCATCGATGTGGTATCGAGGTGTAGGCTTAGGAATGCGGTACGGAGGTGCGGTGAGGTGTAGGTGTAGGTGAGCTTGAGGGCATTGATCTTGAGTGTGAATGGTGTGCCTACATTGGTGGGGGGACGCCGGGATGTGCTGGAGCGGGCGGGGGGATGTCATGCAATTTGTCCTATTGGGGCCCTCGGTGGAGCTCCCTATTTGATCCACGAAGCGTGTGAGGTATGTGCCTAAATGGGCGGGGGGGCGCCATGCAATCTGTCCCACTGGGACCCTCGGTGGAGCTCTGGAATGCGTCCACGAAGCGTGTGAGGTGTGCGCGAGAGTGGGCGAGGGGACGCCGTTCGATCTGTCCCACCGTGACCCTCGGTAGAGCTCCCTCTGGGGCCACGAAGCGTGTGATGTGTGTGTGTGTGTGTGTGTGTGTGTGTGTGTGTGTGTGTGTGTGTGTGTGTGTGTGTGTGTGTGCGTGCCGCAGTTGGCGGAGGGACGCCGTGCGATCTTTCCCACTGGGACCCTCTGTGGTGCTCTCTCTGGGCCCTCGAAGGGTTTGAGGCTTGTGCCGAAGTAGGCTGAATACGCCATGCGACCTGCTCCACTGCCGGGGCCACGAAGCGTCTTTTGGGGGTGCCTACATGGGCGGGGGGACGCCATGCGATCTGTCCCGCTGGGACCATCGGTGGAGCTCCCTATTGGATCCACGAAGCGTGTGAGGTGTGCCGGAGTGGGATGGACCCGCGGAGGGCAGAGGCAATGAGGAGGAGGAGCAGGAGAGGAGGAGGAGGAGGAGGAGGAGGAGGAGGAGGAGGAGGAGGAGGAGGAGGAGGAGGAGTAGGAGGAGGATGTTGAAGTGCACCAGCGATAATCCCTTCATTTAGCCTGCCTGTTGCCGCTGCGCGCTCTCACCCGCTCAGACAGAACGTTTCGGTTCACAGAGCTCTTGAGTTTACGGCTGCAGAAAACCTGAAACCTTCCGTCGGGCGGCGGCCCTCCACTTGAGAGGAGGAGGAGGAGGAGGAGGAGGAGGAGGAGGAGGAGGAGGAGGAGGAGGAGGATAAGGAGGAGGAGGAGGAGGGTGAGGAAGGGGAAGATGAGGAGAAGAGGGGAAGATGAGGAGGTCGGGCGCATTCAATACGGTGGTTGCGACGAACCCCATGCCGCGTCGGCCTGCCCCAGGCTCATTTCCTACGCCGCCATCGTGTTCCGTGGCAGGGAGTTCGACCACGACATGCCAAGCCTGACCAAGCTGTTCTTCTTGTCGAGCGCCGTGCACCAGTTCGTGTTCACCTGGAAGCCCACTGCCGAGCCTTTCAAATCTGACGCTCTCGGGGCACCGATATGGAATAGGAGGAGGATGAGGAGGAGGAGGAGGAGGAGGAGGGAGGCAGGAGGTTCAATTGGGTATGCAGGAGGAGGCCAGAGGAGGAGGCAGGACGAGGATGAGGATGAAGACGAGAATGATGATGTTGATGATGATGGCAATTATGATGCTCTTGCCGATGATGATGAAGAGGAGGAGAAGGAGGAGGTGTGTGTGTGTGTGTGTGACGTCCGCTCATACCACCATGATATTCTTCTCTACCGCCGACGTTTCGGCTCAGGTGGGTATTAGTACTAGGTACCACGCCGTTCCTTCTGCGGCGCACGGGAAAAGGGCTCGACCCCACGGGGACCCGTGCCTCTATGTGTGCAGGGTCTTCGACGGAGCACGGGCGCCGCGACACCACCGCCTTCCCCTCTTTTCAGGCGACGGCAGCGCCGCGGCGCTCAGGGCTGCGCTCGGGGACCTCATCCCCGAATCGCCGCCCGCGCGCGCGCGCGCCTACTCACACGCCTGGGTTCGAACATGCCCCGGCGCCTGATACGTCCGATACGCTTCCTGGCGCCACCTTTCGCTCGGTACCTTCGCCGGTGGAAACACCAGCAGTTGCCCTCGGAGCCACCGCTGGATTCGCCTCGCCTCCCCCTTCTCCTCCAACCTTCGTTGGTGGAAATTCCCGCAGTGGTGGCGCCAAAGAAACGTTTCCTTAGAGCGCTTCCGCGCGACACCGCCGTCGGGGCGATTTCATGTCCCCCACCTTGGTTTCCGCTTCAGAACTGGGCGGACATTTCAGCGAAGGGCCCCTGAGCGGTATCACATCCAGTCTCTCAACGGGGACAACAGCCGCAACCCCTCCCAGAAGCGCTCCCGGCAGAGCTCCCTGCGGCGCGATATCGCGCCGCGTGCATCGCCATCAGCCAGTGATCGCGCTCTTGCCTTTGTCGACGCCCGGATCGTTGAGGATC